ATGGTATGGTATGGCACGGCATTGCATGTGATGGTATGGAATGGTATGGCATGGGATGAGATGGAATGGAATGGAATGGTAGGTCATGACATGGTATGGAATTGAATGGAATGGTATGGTATGATATGGAATGGGATGAAATGCGATGGGAAGCGATACATGATTTGAAATTATGAGTGAAATAAGTGAAACTGTGCTATTATCATTTGCTGTATTTGTAAACACAAAGCTAAACCTGTAAATTATCTTTACAGACAGTTCTGAAATATTTTGTGAATAAAACAAAGAGATTTTCACACAAACTCAATCATTTTTGTGTCAGAAGATGTATTCAGTAAAGATGTAGCACTAACCCTTAAATTGTTTTGAGACTTATATTTATCCCTTGAAATTCCATACCAAATCTGTCTGCTATTATTTGCTACATTTCTTTAAAATTAAAACATTAAAATGTAACAGAAATGGTAATTATACATAGTTTAAAAATAAAATCCACAGCAAAATATCTGAACTGATTTATCTTATCATTTAAAACTTATTCAGTTATACAGAAAGAGTTGGCGTTTTGAAGGTAAATGTTGCAAAGATGAGGACTTGTGCTAATAAGAGCCGGTCTCTTGCTGTCACTTTCAATCAGGATCATGGCTCACAGTTCGGTCCTACCGTGTGAGTAATGTGTGCTGAGCAGACACTGGCCTGGATCCACAGACCACTTTAATAGGATAGGTAGGTATTAGTGGTAAGAAGCTTCCAGTATTCAGGTGCACCAAATCCAATGTGCCAAATCCACTGTTTGGCCCACGGGAAGGTGTACAGTGCTCAGTGGAGATAACCGGACCTTTTCCAGCACTTTTTGGGGTACACTAATAAGGTGACATTTGGCACATTAACACGTGTTTATTTGAAGGCAGATTGTTTTCAATTTCAGCATCAGAAACTTTTATTTTGTTTTGCTTCTTCCTACAAAGTTGCTTCAGTTCATTTTAGTTTTACCCAGACTGCTGCTGGTGATCTTTCAAACTCCGCATTACGTTTTATTTGTGTCACCTTCATCATTAGCAGTCCTTCCTCTCACCTCTCCTCCTCCTCTCTCACAGACAACAGCACAGCATCGTCTCTCGTCGCCTCGTCGCTCTCCTTCCCCTCTTCCCCCGGCAAGACTCAGACTTCCCTCCGCTGTGACCATGGTGGTCATGAAGATGAAGTTCCCCTTTCAGAAAAGGGTGAAGCTGGCCCAGGGACTGTGGCTCCTCTCCTGGTGCGCCACAGTTGCCGGGGCCACGACCTTCAGCCTGGGGTGCCTCCTAAAGACGGAGCTCCACAGGAGAGCAGAGGTACAGAAAGTTTGACATGCTTCTTCCTTTTTCTTCTCTTTTTAATTGAGTTTCATGGAAATAATAAAATAGTGAAACAATTGCCTGATTTCATGCATTGACAACTATTTTTGGGTAAGAAGCTTCTGTTGGTAAGGAAATGACTTTAATCAAAGCTGTAATGTTAGAAGTTTTGGCGGCTAATAATTTGCAACACAAAGTATGATACCATGAAATTAATACGATTGTTCCAGTTGGGTGACACAGATGAGTAAACACTGTATTAAAAAGAGAACCCTATCAAATGTTTGTTTTACTTTTAAAGACCCTAGATTCAGTTTTGGCGATTTGATAATTCATGTGAAATAATAAAAAAAAATTCTGAACTGACTAAAGGCCAATAGACATTTGACCCACTTTGGATGCTGACTAATCAAATCACAAACCTGGCTTTGTCATGCCCAGTTAAACTAATCCCCATTCCAGGACTTGTATATTTGCATTTGAGAAACTGATTCCTTGTTTCTTTATCTGAAATAAATTTGTTGAAGTTGTAGTAATTTAAATGCAAAGACAAAGGAGCGCGAGAAAAAGCATCGCTGTGGCAAATCACTGCAGTGCCACATTTGACTCGCTGTTCGTCAGGTTGGGATTCACTTTCATTAACTTTGGTTTGATTATGGTCAAACTTTATGTTCACATTTTTACTAACAAAATCCCTCATCATTAAATCCATGACGTTCTACAAATAAACTGTTAAATCCAATAAAATAAACCTGTCATTAAAGTTACTGTACATATGTTGTGCTGAGATCTTGGTAAGAATGAGTAGAAATACATTTATTTATCAAAGTTTCTACCTCGCAATGAGAAGTCAGCTTTGCCTTCAACAAATTGTATTTAAATACATTTAATTAATGCTTTATTTTTGACAAAAAATGCACTGAGCAGTTTGCTGGTATTCTTCCTTTCATCAGTGACTGCATTCACTAAAAGCACCTTTAATTAACACATTTTAGCCTCATTTTCAGGAAAATAATACAAAGTATTAAAGACAGCTGAAAACTTAATAAAAAGGTAAAATCCATTTAGGTGTCTGAACGTGGTCCTTGAGGGCCACTACCCTGCATGCTGCGCTTGTTTCTCTGCTCCAACACACTTGAATCAATGGTTGAATTGTCTCTTCGTGTTCAGCAGGAGCCTGTTAATCACCCATTCAGAGACCATTAACCCACTAGTGTGATCTGATGATATTACAGCATGAGTTTGTGCTTTTTGCAGCTTCATCCAGTGGTCACATTGTGTTGTGGCACAACCTCCACAGACGAGTCGAACACATAAATATGAAGCACCTGCAGAGATATGATCTCACTTTATGTTTGGAAAACCTCACTGCTAAGTTTCTTTTTTTTAAAATATATATTTAAAATGAAAACATTCATATAAAACTGTGAAACAGAAGGTCTGAACATCATTGCTTCAATCATTAAGCATGGATGGAAAAAATGAAGCTTTAAAATATTTACAAGGTAGATATTTTTAAACATGCAAAAAAAAAAAAAAAAAACCCTGACAAAATTAATTGGCTTAAATTACACTTAATCCAAAGAATACAACTATAGCTCAGGTTTTGAAGGTCTAATCTAATAATTTAAAGGTACATACATACCTATATGTATATATACCGTATTTTCTGGAGTATAAGTCGCATCAGTCAAAAAAAGCATCATGAAAAGGAAAAAAAAACATGTATAAATCACTTTGGTGTATAAGTCACATTTATTATGCATCACCGCTGACCCGTCGTGTTTATTATGCATTTATTTAATGGTCAACACAGCTCAATCTCACCTGGACGCTGCAGCACTATCCATCCATCCATCGTGGCCGGAGCTGCTGGTTCTCCATTGTTCTTCCGCTTGCACCAGCTGAGTGAAGCGAGCGTGCACGGGAGGACTCGCTGTTGCAATTCTTAGAAATTTAACAAGATTAAAACTTAAAAACAATTATTTATTTGCTTGACATTATAGCAAAAGTGTGTTTCAGTTTAATTTTTCCTTAATAAATGTACTTCAGTGGTCAAAACAGCTTCATTCCGCCTGGGTGGCACAATGCCATCCATCCATCCATCCATCCATCCATGCATCCATCCATCCATCCATCCATGCATCCATCCATCCATGCATCCATCCATGCATCCATCCATCCATCACGGCCAGAGCCGCGAGCTCTCCAGCATCAACAGCTGAGTAGAGTGAGCGTGCACGAGAGGACTTGCTGTTGCAGTGCTAAGAAATTTAAATCTTTCAAAAATCGCGTTATGAATATGGAAAAGAACATATTTAAGTCGCTTCTGCGTATAAGTCGCAGGACTGACAAATCTATGCAAAAAAACTGCGAGTTATACGCTGGAAAATACGTTACTTATACCAGGATCCTTATACTTTTAAGATTTTGTAATCTGTGGGCTAAAAGTTAAAACATTGAAAAACAAAGGAGAATCAGAATCAAGCTTTTTGGCCATTTTTGGCCATACATACAAAGAATTTAGTTTTGGTTAGCTCACATTCACAGTGCACATAAAACTATACCCCCCCCCCCCACACACACACACACACACACACACACACACATTGGTTAGTGTTGGAGCAGTTGTCCTCCAATGAGAGAGTTGGGGGCTCGACTCCACCAGCAGTCACATGTCGAAGTGTCCCTGGGCAAGACACTGAACCCCTCATAGCCTCTGATGTTTGTCCCATCAGTGTATGAATGTGATCTAAAGCACTGATTAGTCTCTTTAGAATGATTTGTTCAACTATCTTTGTAGAGATCTAGTAGAGTGCTGTGTGAATGGGTAAATGAGGACACAGATTGTAGTTTAAAGCGCTTTGAGTGTCTTGAAATAAGATAGAAAGGCGCTACATATGTACAGTCCATTTACCATTTACCATTTTACACACAGTCTTACCTTAAAAAACACATTTAAAACTTTACATTGTTCATGCTTAATATAAAAAAAACTACAGAAGATGTTCATGTAATTGCAAAAAACTATATTTACTGCTCAAAAGCAGAGTTATTGAAAACATATCACTTCTGTGTCTGTACATTTTGACCTGACCTCTACATGCACACACACATAGCTTCTTTTCGTTAGTACCGAAGTTACATATGGATAATTTTAATGAGAATTTGTTCGTTTTCACATTCCAGGTTGTTTAAATTTACATTTCCTGTGCTTTGTGGGACTTACTTTCAGGTAATGGATAACACAGACATACATATTGTGCCCAACACCCTCATGATTGTTGGTCTGGCTTCTTTGGGTATCAACTACTTTGCGTCAAAGATCTGCCAGGACGCCTTGGACGCTGGGCGCTTCCCTCGCTGGAAGAACTTCTTGAAGCCCTACTTTGCCATCTCTTGCTTCTTTACCGTCCTCATGCTGCTGGCTGTCATCATGAGCTATGCCATGAAGGGCAGCCTGGAGTCTTCCTTGAAGGTCGGCCTGAGGAATGGCATCCGCTTCTACAAGGACACGGACACCCCTGGACGGTGCTTCCAGAAGCAGAACATCGACCGGCTGCAGATGGAGTTTCAGTGTTGTGGAAACAATGACTTCAGGGACTGGTTTGAAGTCCAGTGGATCAGCAACCGCTACCTTGATTTCGGCTCCAAGGAAGTCAAAGAGTAAGTGGACGGTGCAGAGTGGGCACATTCATAGAGTTCTGTATCTGAACACAAATCAGTGATCTCTTGTTTGTTTTCTTAGCCGCATCAAGAGCAACATAGATGGACGTTACTTGGTTGATGGAGTCCCATTCAGCTGCTGTAATCCCAGCTCTCCACGGCCATGCATCCAGTACCAGCTCACCAATAACTCTGCTCACTACAACTACGACTACCAAACCGAAGAGCTCAACATTTACCTTCGAGGCTGCAGAGAGGCCCTGGTACACTACTACATGGGCTTGATGAACACCATCGGAGCTGGAGTGCTGTCAATATTCCTCTTACAGGTGAGACATGTGTATGGGTCCCACAGTAATTTAAGATGGAGCTGGTGGTGATACATTTCTATATACTAGTCAAAACATCCCATTGGCATTTTAGAGTTTGGTATAAATGCAAAGCAGTCAAACTACACAGAATTTATTACTAACTCCCTCTTAACACATGATGACCACATTACTGTCAGGAGGTTGTGGTGTACCAAATGAGTCAACTTAAAACACCAGCAACCCTCAAAACAAGAAAACTAAAACTTTCTTAAGGAAAACAAAAGGTAGCTGAGGCGGCAAATAAGTTGCAACAAGAAATTTAGATAGATAGATAGGTAGATGGGTGGATGGATGGATGGATGGATGGATGGATGGATGGATGGATGGATGGATGGATGGATGGATGGATGG